ACGAGTTCCAGGTCTTACCATTCGGGATATCAATAGCCCCTTGGATATTTACAAGGATTACAGCGCCAGTCATCAGGTATACCCACCTCCAGCTAGTACGAATACATGGGTACCTGGACGATTTCCTGGCTGCAGACCAAGAGGAAGCTCAGTTACACCAGAACATGCTATTTCTGGTCCAGCTTATGACCTACCTAGGCTTCCTAGTCAATACCTCCAAGTCCGAGATCACACCTGTTCAAGACATCGTATACATCGGAGTGATTTTCCAACTACACAAGGGATGTCCACCAGAAGATTGATTGGTTAAGACAATTACGATGATTCAATCCCTATGAATTTGATGTCTCTTCCAGGCAACCTAACGTCTCCACAGGAAATGACCTTCAGAGGAAGGTTAATGTTACGTCCTCTGCAGACATGGATCACCTTACTACAATCCCACACCCTAGAGTTCAAGACTCAGTTACCTCTCAAGTTATTACGGGACCTGCACTGGTGGACTCACAGAGAGCATGTGATGAGCGGCATTCCTCTCACTTCTCCGACACCCGAACACCATCTATTCACAGACACATCACATTCAGGTTGGGGAGACCATATGGATGATCTCACGGTACAGAGATCTTGGAGCACCGTAGAGAGGATCCTTCATATCAACTGCAAGGAAATGAAGGCCATCTATTACACCATCCTGGCGTGGAAGATACGTCTCTCCAAATCATTCATCCTCATAGCCATGGACAACACCACAGTAGTGGCATACATCCAGAAACAAGAAGGAACCAGATCCAGTTCTCTGATGATGGAGACTACACAACTGTTTACCTTGGCATATTCTCGGGAAGCTGAACATCCTTGCTGACAGCCTTTCTTGCCAGGGGAGAATAGTGGCAACAGAGTGGACCTTACATCACACCATCTAGATCTTTTTGCCACCTGCAAGAACCATCAACTTCCAGTTTATGTCAGTCCAGTTCCAGATCCAATGGCTCACCAGATCCATGCGCTATCAATGGATTGGATGGGTCTATTTGCATACACATTCCCACCATGGTCTCTCCTAGACAAAGTCATCCACAAGGTGGAGGAGACGGATTGCATGATAATCCTGATAGCACCAATCTGGCCCAGCAGAGCATGGTTCCCCAGATTATTAAGTCTATTAATTGAAGAACCTCTACAGTTAGCTCTCCTTTAAGATCTGTTACGACAGCCCAAGTCAAACATTTTCTACAACAACCTGCTCAGCCTACATCTAACCACATGGAAGTTATCAAGCAAAAGATGCAGACATCAGGGTACTCCGAGCTTGGCTCGGAAGCTGAAGCAAGATCATGGAGACCTTCATCCTCCCTTATGTATGACAACAGATGGGATAAGTTCGTTCAGTGGAAAGACTAATTTATTATTTTAGTTTGTGCACAAACAACTACTACCTTAGCTGCAGCATTCTTGTGCTTTTTTATATCTTACAACGTCATATTTTTATTATGAACTGTCATCACTTGTTCATCGTACACCATTTTTTCTACTATGGATCAGGTAACACTTACCTATCCCACAATCAAATACTTTGTCGACAACACATGTCAGCCAACAGAGGGAAACAACCCTTTCGTCTAGATGACCTCGTAAAGGCAAAAGTGTCAGCGGCTCAACTTTGACCCCAGATCACAACAAACAAGAACTCACACCTCGCTCCAGTCGACCTAGCCGGGCTACTCCCCCGTATTTGACTGCAGCTGACCTGAGAAACCAACTATCACAGCTGGGAATGAAAGTGCCTACATCGTGGAATCGAAAAAATTCCTCCTTCAGCTTTACAATGAGAATTAGTCGAGGTCATCAGTGACATCCACCTTTACAACCTCCTGTCAACGAATTAGCCTAAGCAGCTAGAAGACACATTCCAGTAGACACGGATTCAATTTACGACAGTAATATCATGATATATAACATTTATACTAAGTTTTCCCATAATAATTAGATCCACATCAAGTGCTTTTATGAGTTATCATGGCTTAATATTTATACATCATTTCATATAATTATAGTTTAGCAAGTAATACTTATCATCGGGTAAAATGCATATAGAAAATATCAGTAGTTTCAGTTATAGCTTTTTAGATAGATGCTAGCCTAACGTAATGGGAGCGCATCTCCTAGACATACTATTCAATAAGACAAGAGTACTTACTTACTTACTTACTTACTTTGGAGATTTAATGTGCGCTTTCCGACTTATGCGTATTTCGCACACGGGCCCGGTCAGGCCATTTAATGTGTTTCCGAAAGGGGCAAGAGTTATGTCTACATAGTTTAATAGATTTGAAGCTTTTAGATAAATGCTAGCCTAAGGTGTCAAGATCCCATCTCCCAGACAAAAGATATGTCTACATAGTCTTATAGATTACCTTGAACTATTTTATTTAAGTAAATCTGTCATCACCTATATTAGAATAACATTCAGCAATTACTTCAATTAAGACTCATTAAGGATTAGCCCCCATACAAGCTCGTCTATAGTGCATTAAGGATTAGCCCCAATACAAGCTCGTCTATAGTGACACCATAATCTCTTTCAAAGAACCCAGTAAATATGTCAACAAGATTAGTGCCAGTCCAACAGGATTAACATGATTAAGTATTCCCCTCTGTCTAGCCATTCATTAACCATAAGGCACAGCCCATCGTGTATCAACCAATCATATACCATTTTATTGTTCTAATTTTTTTTAAATACATACAGAAACCAAATGTTAGGCTGAAGGGGTTTGACGCTCATACCAAGCAGATCTCTCTCACAGCCCAGAGGCACCCTCAGCTATTTTCTAAGTAGTTGTTAATTGTTCTTGTAAACAGCTCTTTGCTGACTAATTCCCCCAAAAATTCCAGCACGCCATTTGGAAGGTTTTGTTCAACCGAACAGAACTATAAACATACCATAATAGTAACGACACCTCTCCCTTGCTTTCTGACATGCCTGCCAGATGTCCTGATGTAAACAATATGGCAAATGACAAGCCTCTCCGTGATGAAGTGTGGTAACTGAAAGCACTTATCTACTCGTTGAAAGGGGATTCTACAACAACACATCAGCTAACAACCCCCCAGATGCCACAGGCTGTCCCTTCTGACTCCCTGCCACCGATAAATACCATTCAAGCCCACCTCAAGACCAAAATCAAACAAGGTAAATATGTCAACTTGGCATAATTACTACAGCAAGATCTTGACATCAGTGAACGTGAATCAGAGGGACGTGAAGATACTAAGCTAGGAAAGTCTTTGTCACAACCCGATTTCATCATTGTATTCACTGCATAAAAGAATGTGTACTGTGAAAATAACCATGAACTATGTGCACAATTGGATGACCATGAACAAACTGTTGTGGGACTAACAAAACTCTTTCCTGGCAAGACTAATCATTATGATTATTACATTTAGTACTAACTACTAAATGACTTTATCGGGCATATCCAAACCATTGGCTAATTACACCTTTAACCTAATCACCCCTTGTAACTGAATCAACCCCGGGTCAGCACCCTGCACTGTGCCCGGGGCAATAGATCCCGTGCAACCATCATGCCTCCTTTGTTACATCCTATAGTCCATCATTCGTGCACAGTCTCTCTTCAAGTACACATGTGTTTCACTTTATTACCTACGTGGTGAAGATACAGGTTGTAAGATACGTCACACGTGTGTCGTACAAGGTTGACCTTGTTTTATTTTTTGGATTGGATAACCGTGACCTCTGTCACACCGGGATTACTTTTTTCATTCATAAAAAAATCGCGAGACGTCATTCATTTTTGCAACTACAAGGCAGAACTGAAGCAATCTCATGTGAGCGAGATATATTAACAAACACTTTATTAAACCAAACAAGATAGTCACATGCATCAAATTTGGTTTGCAACCTATATAAGTTATGCATTGAGCTTCCACAGACATTATATAATCGAGCTATATCCATTTACAATGTAGGACTACCGTTCAGTAGATCGAGTGTCTCAATGAGCGTGACGCGTTCGACTACTTTCGCAACTTCCAATTTGATTTAACGTTAAAGGATAAGCGTGGTGAAATGACGTCAGTTTAAATTATCTGAACAGATATCTAGACTTACTTGGGATGATCCGGTTGTGCAATCAGTGTCCTCTTCGAAGTGTATTTTGTGGCGCTGTTTCGGGAGTTGTTTGTTGACGACTGCACAACCAGATCACTCAAAGTGAACATTTCCGATACAAATCATTCGAAAACTCCGTAGAAGTGTGCCTGATTTCTGATTATGTGGCCCAAAATATCCCAAAGGTGAACAATAACATTCCCTATCTCTAGCGTAAAACGCTGAGTAGATCACGGTTGTCTTTTCTTATTCCGGTGGTGACCTTGCCCTTTGAAGCTGACATGCAAGCAGACTTTAGCGTGTTGATTTTCACATCTTCAGTAAAGGGTGGTACAGTAAACATGAATGTCTTTGGCGAACACTCTGATTTCCCTCTTCCAAAATGGTACGGACATGATATAAATTCAACTGATAGATCAAGGAAACCGAACCATTTTGAATGCACAGACGGGACCCCTGCAGTGCGAGTGACCGACTGTTGGTCCGATATTCAAAGCGCGGTGCCAATGTGACTTTTCAAATTCTCTTATAGGTGTCCTGCGTACTAACAACGTGGCGCTTGAATTATCATAAGTTGAAGAAATTCTTCCAAAAGGAACTTGAGCGTTGGTGCTGTTTTGCTTTCAAACACAACTGCAGGCGCATGGTGTTAATGCGTATGCATAGGAATGTCAACAAAGCCCATATTTGGGCATATATCAATATTCATACACAACCAGATTTGGCAACCGGTTTCAGTTTGGTCTGTCAAAGAACAAAAGTTGTTATGTATTTACACTTACATACATATTTAACGTGGGTAATAAATAAAAAAACACACTCATTCTCGTTAGATACCGTTTTTTACGAAACCTGTGAACTTTCTATGTTATCTGACCTTCCTTTTGCTCGGTCAGATACCATAGAAAGTCACTCGTTTCGTAAAAATGGTATCTAACGAGAATGAGTGTAGTATTCTCTATGTATCTAATAGCTTCCGCTTTGTACGTTTTCTTTGTAAACAATCGCAACCGTTTTGCCGATTACGCTTTGAATACCATCTATTTCAGCACTCGCCGTATCGCATTTGCACAATCGCGACCGTTTCGCTGAATACGCTTTGAATACCATCTATTTCAGCACTCGCCGTATCGCATTTATTTCGTTCTACTCAGGACATTTTACACTTGTGGATTACCAACTCACCACCTCGACCTTCCGTGATGCCTCCCAAGAGAGGATCAGCCGTCAACCACAAGCTTGTGAGGGGAGCCAAGCAGGCCAGGACAACCAGGAGACAAACCCCGGGAGTACACATTATACAGGAGGCAACAGCTGATGGTGAGTCTTCGAATTACGGGAATATCGAAGGTGGCACGCCCATGCTTCATCCGAACAATACAATTAACATGCAATCGGCACAGCTCGTAAATGCCGCACAGGTATCTAACTCAGGTAAACGAGCAACTGGAAAAAATATGCTCACAACGAGGCTGATGGTGACGCGGCTTGGCCAGCCAATCAGAACACAAGATACGGGGATTCCCTATCCTTCTGTGCGGATGGAATAGACGCACACGTCAAACAACAGGTGAGGGAGAAAATCTGGCGTGCCGAGTTCGTCGACCTCGGCACAATCCTACCAAACACCGAAGAAAGCCACGAGGATGGTACAATTACCATGGCTTATGATTCCTCAGGTAAGATAATTTTTAAACCAATAAAGCAGCAACCAAAGCGCCTGTCCCTGGCAAGCTGGACTTCAGCTTTCCACATTTTCATGTATATATATGTCAGTAGGCACTCCGAGGTACTCACAACCCAGGGGTTGCTGTCCTACATGGAAACCATAAGAACGGCTGCACTTCGATTCTGGGGGGATGCCTGGTTGACCTACGACCAACAATTCCGACACAGAATGTCAAGGGACCCCTCACGCCGCTGGGACAACATTGACGGGGAGTTGTGGCTGAAGTACATGGTCACACAGCCGGTACGACAAACAGAGTCAGGCGAACGGGGCGCAATGACACAGGGGGACATCGCCGGTAAGGTATGCTGGGATTTCAATAAATTTGGTTGTAGCAGGCCCAACTGTAAGTACACTCACAAATGCAGTAAGTGTGGCAAAAATTCCCACATCTATAGGACCTGCTTTCGAGGGAATGGGGTCCAACAGACCCCATACAAGCCCCATCAACCTTTCCCTAACAGCAAACCAGCCGCCAAGAAAGGTACATTCAATGGCACCTTCCCCCGTGGATCTCAATGAAATGGCACCCTGGTGACACCAATATGCTAAGGCCAATTACAGAGATGCAAATTATTTATGGGTAGGTTTTAGCTTTGGTTTAAAGCTCGAGTTCCAGGGAAGCCTCACTGGTCGCCTGGCACAAAACTTGCGATCAGCCACGCACCAGGACACTGCAGTCTACGTCAAACAAAAACTACAAAAGGAAGTTGACCTTGGCAGGATGGCAAGCCCCTTCAAGGACACCCCCCTGGACAACCTCCAAGTATCCCCAATAGGCCTGGTGCCGAAGAAGCAGCCAGGCTATGGGCAGCATCTCGGTAAGCATGCGGAGGAATTCCGTCTAATTCACCATCTATCCTATCCCAGGGGTAAATCTATAAATGACTTTATAGACACAGAGGCCTGCTCCGTTGTGTATGCCAAATTTGATGAAGCTACTCATATGGTTCAACAACTGGGAAAAGGAGCATTACTAGCAAAATTTGACATTCAGTCCGCCTTTAGAATTATACCAGTCCACCCATCCGATTTCGAGCTACTAGGCATCAGATTCGAAGGTGAGTTCTATTTTGATAAATGCTTACCATTTGGCTGCTCCATATCTTGCGCCATATTTGAAACGTTTAGTATCTTCTTGCAATGGTGCATGCAATCACATCTACCAACGTGTCAGATCATGCATTACCTGGATGACTTCCTAACGGGGGGCACAGCAGGCACCAGCCACTGCTCAGACAACCTCAATGGATGCGTGAATACACTGGAACAGCTTTGGGTTACTATTGCGCACGACAAGATGGTGGGCTCCACGACCAAACTGACGTTCTTAGGGCTGGAAATCGACACCAATGCAATGCAGATCAGAATCCCAGAGTCCAAGATCAAGGAGGCGACAAGGGAAATCCAAGATATCCTGTCAACAGGTAACATCAAGGTCACATCAAGGTCACAAAAAGGGCTCTTCAGTCCCTCATAGGCAAGCTTAACTTTATGTGCAGGGCTATACCAATGGCAAGGGTATTCAGCAGAAGGCTAATCGATCTGCTTAGCAAAGGTAAGCAACCATTTCACCACATTAGGATTACCAGCTGGGTCAAGGAAGACCTACAAATGTAGTTAACATTTCTCACGAGTTAAAATGGCATTTCAGTGTTTCAAGACTAACTATGGGTAGACAGTGATTTCCTCCAGCTTTTTTCAGACGCAGCGGGTGGGGCCGGCTTTGCGGCCTACATGCAGGGCAAATGGTTTAACGGCGCATGGCCAACCCAGTGGGTGACGGATGGAACTACATGGGACTTGACACCCCTGGAGCTGTTCCCCATTCTTGCAAACAAAAAGGTCCTCTTCTTCTGTGACAACCAAGCTGTCAGAGCAATAATCAACAAACAGTCTACCAAGGCCCCCAGAGTGATGAGCTAACTCCACCACCTAATCCTGCAGTGCCTCCGATATAATATTCTGTTTAAGGCAAAGTATGACTGTTCCACTGCTAACACTATTGCCGATGCTCTCTCAAGGTTTCAGCTCAAACGCTTCCGAGAGGGAGCACCATCCGCGGACCAGAACCCCACACCTATCCCGTGCAACATATGGCTGATCTGAGGCAGGAAGCCAGTAGACTCCTACAACAATCTCTGTCTACAAACACATGGGTCACTTACCAAACAGGCATCTATGCCTTACACCAGTTCCGGTCCACATGACAGCTACAAGAGGTGTGGCCAGTCCCGCTGGATCAGGTTGTTAACTTTATTGCTTATCTGTCAGTCACTCACCACACCCCTAACACAGTCAAGACTTACATTGCAGCGCTGTCTTCACAGCACAAATTCCGCGGGCTCACCAATTGTATAAAACATTTCCTGGTGGGCAAGATTTTAACAGGCTTACACAAATCAGCGGGCCGACATGACACCAGAAAACCCATCACTGCAGGTCTGCTGCGAGTAGTAACCAACAATCTGCCACACGTATGCTCGTCAGCATATGAAGCCAGACTGTTCAAGGCAGTCTACTGCACAGCCTTCTTCGATTTCTTTAGGGTTAGCGAGCTGTTCCAAACTTGATCCTCAAAACAAGGTTGCGCCATCCAGAATTTAAGTTTCTCGGGCAACCCCCAGCAGCTTTCAATCCATCTACCACACACAAAGTCTGATCAGTACAGGATGGGGCCAACAGTTACAATGTCATCTATACCAGGTAATCCGCTATGTCCTGTAGTCGACATCAAGCACTATCTGGAGGCGCGCCCCTCCTGCCCACAACATGCATTTGTTCATTTCAACCATTCCCCCGGTACAAGGTACCAATTCCAGGCACTCCTAAAAAAGGCCTTAGCACACAGCAACATAAACACGGCTGGCTATTCTTCGCACTTCTTCCGCATTGGAGCAGCCACATCAGCAGCCATGAACAGGGTGCCGGAACACCTCATACAGCAATACGGCAGGTGGAAGTCAGATTGATACAATGCTTACATACGCTTACCAACAAATTTAATGCTGCACAATTAATTTAAATAGTCTATTCATGGTATTTACTAGACTTCTTATCGTTTACAGTTTGGATGGTAGGCTCCAGCTACATGGCCAGGGCACGGCAGTACTTGCTCCTGAAGGGCACCAGTCCGAACCAACGGAGGATGCGATGGCTGGCACGAGGGGGAATGAGGTGGAAGGAGGGACACCATTCTTGATGCACAGGTCAAGGCGACACGGCGCAGCCCCAGAGCCCTAATCATTCACCTGGGCTCCATGACCTGTGCTCGGTCAAGGGCAGCCAACTCTACCTGGACATGGTGGCATCAATCCTTCGGATACGATTCCAGCTTCCTGACACCAAGATCATCGTATCCTCAATGCTGCCCAGGCGCTACTGGCACGATGCCAGGGATCCACTAAAGATCGAGGGGATGCGGAAGAATATCAACCGCTGACTAGCCAACCGAGTCAAAGAGCTCGGCGATACAATAGTGCCACATCCACAGATCCTGGCACGAGACAAGGCATGGTACGCCTGGGAGGGCGTCCACCTCAGTGACAAAGGACTGTGTGTGTTTACGGACAATTTATTGCATGCCCTGGCACTTGTTTTGCGCCAGTAAGGATGTTATCTGCACAGGTTAGTGTTTATTTTCAATACATAGGCAAGCTGGGCAACAATGCTATCTCCGTGTATCGCATGGCCGTGGGTGTGTGGTAGCACTCTGGTGCTTTGTGGCGGGGTTCTTGTGGGCTACACTGCTAGTAACAAATTAACTTGCTTCCAAATTAATACTCGTGCTTAAGGCGGGAACCTTTCCGGGGTTACTTGCTTCTCAGTGGGAACCTTGTCTTTCCCGACTTTTCAGCCGGGGAATCATAAAATAACTTACGTTGGGCAACCAATTGCCACATATATGGGCCCGGCGGTAGAAGTCGTCTTGTCAAGCAGTAGCTGACAGTTGGGTCTGCGGTGGTAGTCGCGACAATGGTTTTACTAATGGGGCCAGGCAGTGGTATCTGCTTTGGCCGGCTATCTGGGGCCGGGCAGCGGTAGTCTGACTTAGGCCAGCAGCAGTAGTTGCTTTTGGCAGCGTGGTAGTTGCCAAGCAATCGTAGCATTTAAATATGCTACCGTGAGGGCCGGACAGCGGTAGCGGTCTCAGGCCAGCAGCTCTAGCTGTGAATCGTTGTTGGCCACGCTAATGGCCATGGAAACGGTAGCATTTTGGTATACCCAACTAGCAGCTTAGTAGCCCACTAGTACCTGCACACCCTCGGCTATTTAATCCAATCTCATCTTGTGTTTTATTATAGGCATGGGCATCCACAGCTCTGTGCCAGAGCATAACTCACACTTCTGAGGGATGCAACAACCTTATGGACCCCAGGATCAGACGTCCAAGCGGGCAGTTTGACAGGAACTCAACAAGCTATCGTCAAGGCAAAGTTGATGCCAGGGTTCGACCTAAAGTGCGCTTTAACGGCAGAGAAGTGTGTAATGATTTTAATGACCAAAGCTGCCAGCGACAACCTTGTTACTTTGAACTCAAAACCAAACTGCAGAGAGAGGCAAAATAAGACCTGACCTACTCCAGACGGGCTGGCACCCCTACTATCATCTAGACCTGTCAACTTAACACCAATTAACGTGACTCAATTACAATATGAACTTTCATCCCATCCAGACCAAATTTCTTTCAAAAACCTAATTGATGGACTCACACTGGGCTTTGACCCTCCAATTTCTCCTCTGCCAACTACAACTGTTGCGTGTTCTAACAATCTCAGTGCACGACGAGAGCCTTCAATCATCACTAAACTGGTTCAGTCAGAAGTGGCAAAGGGATACGTTAATGGACCTTCCACCAAGTCACCTTACCCCATTTATCGAGTCAGTCCTCTGGGTTTAGCTGAGTAGTACAGCCGCAAGAAAAGACTCATTTTGGATCTATCAGCCCCACATGACAAGCCAGATATTCCAAGTGTAAATGAACTGATTGACAGACTTGTGCTCCCTGTCCTACATGACCATTGACAACGCTATATCTCTTATTCTGGAAGGACAGGGGGCCTTGATGTGCAAGGTCGACATTTCTGACGCCTTTATGCAGGTATACCCATTGCACCCAAATTTTAGCCGTTCTTTGGATTCAAGTGGGATGAAGAGTTCTATTTCTATACATGTTTGGCATTCGGATGCAGATCAAGCCCTAAACTTTTCGACTCCCTCTCAGAAGCAGTCTGCTGGATCCTGCTTAACAATTATGATGTCAAACATATTCTCCCTCTCCTTTGACGACTTCCTCACCATTGACGCGCCTACTGCTGATGCTCAAAAAAACATTAACACTTTATGTTAACTCTTTAGGCTACTCCAAATACCATTAGCTGAACATAATTCAGCAGATCCTGTTCCAGTTTAGATTATATCTTGGAATTATTCTGGCATTCGATGACTGCTAAGCTGCCACGAGACAAGTTGTCCAGAATTTCAGCAATGGTCGATGTGTTTTCTAGACGGAAAAAGTGTACAAAACTGGAACTGCTGTCATTTTTGGGGCATCTAAATTCTGCATGCAGGGTCATTATCCCTGGTCGTTCCTTCATATCCTACCTGATCAACTTTTCTGAGACAGTGAAGAAACTCCATCATCATGTGTACTTATCCCATGCCTGCCACCAAGACCTACAGATGAGGGCCACCTTCTTGAAAGAATGAATGGAGTGTCATTCTTCCATGACTGTACTGCCACCTCTAACTGAGACATGGAATTATACACGGATACTGCCACTACTGTAGGCTTTGGTGGTTATTTCCAAGGATCTTGGTTGGCTGACAAATGGCCTTCAAAACTGGTAGGTGGATTGAGCGCAGCCTTGCCTTCCTGGAACTATACCCTATTGTTGTGGCAGCCATTTTGTGTGGACATAGTTGGTCACAAAAACGTGTGCTCTTTCACTGCGACAACATATCAACTGTTCATACCATTAGGAAAGGCAGATCCAAATGTACTAAGATTATGTCTGTAATGAGAACACTAACCTGGACTGCTGCTGAAGGTAACTTTGTCATCATTGCACAACATATCCCTGGCATTCATAACAACAATGCTGATGCGCTCTCTCGTTTGCAGCTCAAGAAGTTCCTAAGTCTCGGCAGAGAAGAATGCAACACCATGCCGTCCCAGTTAACAAGTCACATGGATTTGAATACCCATCTGAATACCCTGTGGTTCGCCACCATAACCCCTTGCACCAGACACACTTATGCCACAGAGGTGCAGTGCTATTTCAAGTTCATGATTTGTGTGTACAGTCCGTTTGACTCCAAATGAGAACATAGGGGGGACAAACCGTGGAAGGCACAGCGCAAGCACGCATGGACTGCACGTTCTGTGGTAGGGGAAATGACAGAGCGTCAGAGGGGCCGTCTCATGATAATTTCAGTCGCAATCTGACTCGCTCATGCCATAGATCTCGTCGTCGGAACTGCTGGTGCCTGAACCGACTGACACTATTATAGTTTAAACTGTTGCTGGCCGTAGTCCATCTTGTGACCAATAACGTGGCTCTATCTCGTCAACGACTGTGGCCAATACAACGCCTTCATGTTTCTACTGTTACCCGACCAAGGGATTCCTTTACGAGTTGTTCAACGTCTCGTAATTTGAACATTGTGTTCGATCGTCCAACGTCACCCTTGACGATGCCCCATACCAACTCGATTGGATTCAGGTCGCAGTGATAAGGTGGCAGTTGTAAGACAGTGTGACCCTGACCCTTGATGTAACTGTCAACTTTATACACGGGGTCAGGTTTCATAGTTTTGATGATTTCATAGAGCTGTGGTTTCGTCGCTCAAGAAGGAAAGGTAATGTTCCTCCGTTGCAGCCAAGTAACCATGTCTCCTTTATGGTTTTTAAAGGTTGGAGTCTTGCTTTCTGGATCCTGCACACTATGATACGGTGCATTGTTCATGACAATGAGAGACTTGGAAGGCAAAGCAGGGACTAATTTATCTTTCACCCACTCCAGAAATACATTGCCGTTCATTTCTGTGTGGTAGTCCCTGTTGTCTTTGGCCTTGGCTCTAAAGACGAAGTCACAGTCTGGGAGAAAACATTGACTAGCAGAACCAGCATGGTGAACTATGAGTCTTTCACCCTTTCCCATTGGTAACTTTCTACCAGACTCCTTACAGTCACCACTGGGTACCCACTGACTGCTGGCTGTGTGTGACGCATTTACCCATGTCTCATCTAAGAAGACGGGCTTATATCCTTCTTCACGTTTCTGCTTGATGGTACGAAGGTAATGATTTCGGAGACGAACAATGTCAGACCGTTCACACAACACAGCCCTATTTTCTCCAGTTATCTTTTTGTATTTGTAACCAAATGTATGCAACAGCTGCCATAGTTTGTACTTTGTAACACATATATCATGGTCAGTTTCAAGGTGTTTCTTCAAAATTCTTAGGGACAGGTACTTATTTTCTGAGTGCAGTTTAACAATTGCACGTCTGACTTGATCCCTCTGAAAACTGTCTTATTTATCAACCTTGCATGGTTTTGACATGTTCCCTACCTACTTGGCCTGACTATTTGTATCTCATCGATTAACAACATTTTTCAGTTTCTGATGGGACATACCAAGAGCTTTTGAAGCTCGTTTCAAGAATTTATTAATTGCATAAAAAGGCTTTGCTCTTTCTGCTTCACTTCTAAAGAAATCATACACATTCAACATCAACTGTTTAACATCTGCTGAGTAGCGCATCTTGTCATTGAATGAATACGGTCACTGTGTAGCACGTGCAGACCGTGCTTGCGCTGTTCCTTCCACGGTTTGTTCCCCTACGTGTCATGTACACATTTCTATACAAAATTACATGATAGTTTCTTAAAGAACTTCATCCATCATGGGTCTTAAATTAAACAAAATTCAGATTTTGTTGGGTACAGGGTATTCATGGTCAAGTACCGTATTGATGTTTCATACACTTTTCTGGATTTCGAGTTTTTTTGCAATTCATCGTTCTCATTTGGAGTCAAACAGCCGTACCTGTTTTCCATGGAAGCTGACAGTCTGCCTCCAGTGCAAGAGACGTATCTCCAGTACTTTCTGGCCCACTAGGGTCCTTCAGCTCGCTTATACAACAGTGAAAACATACCTGGCGGGTATTGGGTATACTTACTTGCATGCCGGATTACCTACTGTGTTTGATTCCCCTGCGTCTTGTGCATATCCAGACATTAATGAGAGGAAGTTACAATCTCCCGTCAAGAGTAAGAGGCTTCCCATCACGTATGACATTCTCTGTCGGATCGTCACTCTCCTAAGACAGGGTGTGCTAGGACCTAGGACCTTACAACGACTTGAACATGGAGACTATGTGCACCATTGCTTTCTTTGGATTTTAACTTTTTGGCGAGTTTACCTGCTCATCTGGTTGTGATGTCGACACCAACATCTGCGTAGAACACATCACGCTCGATTCAAATCTTGCATTTTACGACTTAGAGTGTCTAAGACTGACCCCTTTCGTCAAGGCGTACATATTTCATTGTTTGCTACGAAGAAGCTGGTGTGCCCTTCACCCAGCCTGACACAACAGACCCCCTCTTTGTTGACAGCTCCTTTACAGCAATTACCAGGAATACCTTTCTGTTGTTCCAGTGGGTATTCAGGACACTCATTTCGGATCGGTGTGGCCACAACGTCAGCTGAAGTTCGTCCAGAGGACCACCTTATCAAGACTCTAGGACAGTGGACCTCTGACTGCTTCACTCGGTATATCCGAACACCCGAAGCTACCTTGCACCAAGCCCAGATCTCCGTATGTACTGTGTGACATGCATAGACTTGACTTTCGACCTGATGAGGTGCTAATCATCAGACAATCAACATGCCCTGTGTGTCATGAGTTCATAACCTGACTATGTATACTATACTAGACTTTTATCTGTCTACATCTGAGATCCTTCGTGCCATATATATTCGATATATTATTAGTTCATAGCTGCGATTGATCGTATGTTCTTATTAATTTTGCCATCATGTATATTATATTTCTATGTTCCATGTGCTAAGTTCTTGTTTCATGGGTGCTTCAATTTCATTGGACATACTTGCTTTTTGTTTTATTCCATAGTCTACCATGTCAGTTTGTGTATATATTCAAATGGTTGTGATGCATCGTTCTAATCTCCTATGTTTAATCATGACAATCAGTTGTGTGTGCCATTTTATTAGTGCCAAATTGTCTCAGGACACTTCTGTACTGTCTATTGTACCAAACTGTGTAGAGCACAAAAAATGGACTACACTATGTGGCAAGTGAGGATACACTGTGCCTTAACTTTCATACGCCTGCTACTGCCACCTGGGGCTCACTAGTGATACATACTATATGTGCATGTGCACACAGGACTTGTGCTATGAGACTTTGTTACATTTCATTACATATTATTTTGCAAATTCAGCCATTTTCTATCTATATTAACCTATATTAACCATGTTTACCAACTATTATTCCTCAGGAGCACTCGGTTGCTACACAACCTCTTTTTTGGCGTATGTAGCCCCCAACTCATACCATATACCTCTCCCTAAATTAACACCCAGAGTTCACGACCTCCAAGGGTACATCTTTACTAATACTGGGATCCTAGACCCCAGATTTATCCACAACAGTACTCGGGTTGACGACCCACTAACAAGCTATCAACCCAGGATCCACGATCCTCGGGGTACTCTTTCTCTATATCCTATCACTCGGGTTTATGACCCACTGTCATCAGCAACCGAGGTAGCCCCCCCGTTGTCTCCAATGTAAATAAATTATGTTATTATATTCCATTGTATGTTGTTGTTTGCTGCACAAACAAGGGATTATAACTAATAATACAATATCCTTACCCTATGGTAGCGGAATTTCTACTACATCTATGTCAGGACAATAAGTTCCGACATGGGATGATAGAAGGTTACAAATCAGCTCTTCACTCTGTACTTCAATATGACGGACTCTCAATTGGAAACCATCCCATTCTAAACAGACTAATGAGATCCTTCCTACTAGAAGATGTTCGTACACCTTGTATGGTCCCCAAGTGGAATCAATCTGTTGTGTTATCAGCACTTTAAATGGAACCTTACGAGCCCATGGCTAAGGCCACATTATTCCAAAAAAACAGAAAAGCATCCTTCCTCCTAGCCATGGCGACAGCAGCAAGAGTTTCAGAACTCCATGCTATGGACTTCTCTAGTCTCACCCATGATCAACATTGGACCTTAATCACTCTAAGACTGCTCCCAGATTTTGTCGCCAAATATCAATCTACCACCGTGGGACTGTTGGACACTATACCATTCCTGCCTTGGAATGGTACTAACAGTGGATCACACAGACAGACTTTTATGTCCGATCAGAGCTCTCAAGTTCTATCTATCAGCTACAGACCCACATAGACGCCATCGAAGGAGACTTTTTATACCCTGCAAGCCACATTCAAACAAGGGCATCAACAACGCTATGATAGCGGGCTGAATTAAGGCCACCGTTGCAGTGAGTATAAGCAGGCACAGAACACCACTCCACATCTTGGATCCTGCTGGGCTCATGAGATTAGAGCCCTAGCTACGAGTCTCGCTTCATGGACATCCGTCTCAGTACAACAAGTAGTGTCTAGCTGTCAGTGGGCCTCACAAAACACCTTCACCAGTTTTTACTTGCGTGACGTGCAACCAGACCTAGAGGGCATTTATAATTCCCTTGGGTCCAAACTATCATCCACCAATATAATTTCACCCCTTCTATCGAAAGGTTGGGTGGTTGGTTGGTTTGTTGTTTAACGCCGCACTCAGCAATATTCCAGCTATATGACGGCGGTCTGTAAATCTATTGAAAGGTGTAGGATGGATTTGGAGAACCTTGACAATCAACTCCTCTGACCGAAGTGACGTCATAACCAGAAGAGATAGAACCGAAAGTGATGTCATCACCGGAAGTGATATCATCAACATTAGTGGGATCAGCACCAGAAATAACAGTGCATGGTCCATCTAATCAGGAAATGACATCTTTTGGTAGAAATAGACCATAAGAGACGTCATTACCCAATAAAAAGGAAGTGACAAACCGAAAGTGATGTCACAAGCAGAAGTGACGTCAGCACCGGTATTAAGTGTCACCAATCCAAATTTAACAAGAAATGACGTCATTGGATAGAAATAGATAAGAAATGACATCATTATTACTAACAAGATCAGCACATATAACGGTAATTCGGGTGAAGGTATCACGTATTTGACTGATTCGTGATACATTCTGATTTTCAAGTCCTTGGGAGGAATTTCCAAGGAAATTATCTTAAGTCAGGATTAGAATCAGTGAATAAATGGTTTCAAGGAGAGGATTACTGTCTATTACACAGGGAGTTACTAGAGGTAGAAGATTCACAAAAATTATCGAACAATAGTTATCATTGTTAATAATTCTAAGAATACTCCCTCTATTACATCAGAAATACTCCAACCCACCTCCCCAATTCATCCACCTCTACTGGCTAGATGTGGGAAAGAAGTGAGGTTCTCGCCATTACACACGTCATAGCTTGGATTGTTATTGTGCTATTGTGTTTATAACACGTGACACTATAATAAACATTATTCTCTCTCTCTCTCTCACTCCTTTTCTCTAAATCTACAAACTTAGATTGACGACAATGCTGATATCAGCGATAGGGTCGTAACAGGGTGGAACAGGATGAATAGGCCAGCTGACGAAGCATGCTGGTCACCAGGCGTGACAAAAATCTCTTAGAATATTATGTTTATGCTTTTGAAAAGGTAATAATGAGCATATAGGTAATTCAGTATACACACATAAAAGTATTATTCTTACCACGGTGTCATTGGTAATTATGTAGATGTCGAGTCAAGGGTGGGTGACACATCAGGTGATGTGGGTCTTCTCGTTTCCACTTGATTTTCATCGTTTCCATACCACGAAATTTGCTCGTGATGGTTCATAAGCTTAGAGTTTTGTGATTTCCTTATTGGTCAAGGGAACTTCTTCGTATCAGGCAATGTATCGGATGCCATGTTGTCTCACCATAAACTGGTATCTTTTGCGGTGTGACAAGACAGGGACCCAGTTAAATTGGCACCAATTACGTCATAATCTAAGGGGGATAACTCAGGCCTTTTTAGCTCAGAAAACAAAAGCCATATAACGGCATAACATTTTCACACTTATTGTTAGCTTCCTACTTTCAATGTGAGAAAAATGAGTGTATGTTTTCAAACACTGACACTAACTAATTCTACAATTGCGTTTTGTTTGAAACAAGAAAATAAAACCTAAATGAAGGGATATTTTGCATATTGAATGCTCCCTCTCATGTTGTCAAGGGATGCATTTTGCACATGAAAACATGGCAAAATCGCTGCATAACATGTAGTCTGGTGGCAGACACTTGACTGATGACTTAGAGAATACACTGATCAAGACCACCCAGCTACTGTGATCTTAGTTTACATGAATGGACAAGTATACCAGAGTGACACTGTTTTCAAAAGTGTTCAAAATAGACACTTAAGCAATGTACAGATCAGTAAAACAGAGACTCTAGATATAAATCATATAAAACACCTGGCGTGACAACTTCTTCAGTGATATCACTGATTTATCTTTTCTAAGAGCTGAGGCTGTAAGATTGGCTGATACATCTACCAAACTGAATGATAATGATTGCTAAACTGTAGGGATGTCATTACACAATTTTTTTTTTTATTACTTATGTCAACATAGAAGCCATGGTACGATACATATCTCAATAGTGCATATATGACATTTTGTGCAGCAAAACCCAGTCAAAAGACTGAGAATAGAGTTCACATACTTATTCATGAAGCTAGTCAGTCAAGTTATCGGGCCGGTTTCCTTAACCGAAAGTCGACCAAGAAAGTTATGAGGAATTAAAAAATAGATTGTACTTGTTTATTGACATCAATGCAAGATCAATATGGACAATCGATATAGGGTTAAATGTGAATAGATGCCAAATTAAGTGTATTGTGTATCATATCATAAAAAGTTAGCTGATGATGCACCAGTGTAAACAGGGTCTCTGGCAGTGTGAGTGACCCTCTGTTGACTTGGCTTCAAACATGTCAAACGGTTTTGTGACAAAATGTTACTTTGGAGTTATTAGCTAACCCTGATGAAGGAAAGCAAAGAAAAAAGAGTTTTACACAAACATATTTCATAAATGTATTATGTATAGGTAAAATAAAGTTAACTGAGTAAACCAAAACTATCTATGAACTCACTGAGACAAGGAACAGATTAACATGGTGCTGCAAGGATGTGCTGATCTTCACTGTCTCAATTACATCCTGATCTATGCTGTTCTGCATTATTACGGCTCCAAGCCGAAAGGCTGGAAGCCCTATTGTAATAGGCCGATTTATTATTATAATTTATTATTTTTATTATTATTATTATTATTATTATTATTTATACTCAACCAAATTAAAAACTTCACAATCCTAAAATTTTGACATTTTGACAAGTTATCATTGTGGGCCCTTATTGTGTATTTAAACAGTAATGGCCCTGTATTGTCTTCAGATAACACCCGTTTTTGTGCAGGTGAATCGATCAAAATCATGTGCACAGCACTATAGTGGCAAAAGTGGTTTTTCACGTGCAACTGGTCACGTGGCCATAATACCGCACGTGTTTTCAGCAATACTTGTTAGCAGTCATTAACAAAAAAGGAAAAACACAAGAAAACAAAAGTCTTTACGGACATTTGTCATGCCACGCCTTTCAAATGTGCAACGTGAACGTGCCATCGGCATGTTGCAGACGGGAACGTCTGTAGCTGAAGTCGCAAGGACGATGGGTTGTAGTCGACGGACTGTTTATGATTTACAGACGCGTCTACAGCAAACGGGTACCACCGCTGATCGCCCACGGCCAGGTCACATGCAGAGGATCGTCAGATTGTCTTACGTCACCTCCGTAACCGATTTTTGATGGCTACATCAACCAGAAATGAACCCTTTAGGGATAGACTGAGTGCGCACTGAGAACTGCTCACCTTCAAGCACGACGGCCATACTGCGGGCTGATTCTGACTCAATTACACAGACGTCAACGTCAGTTGTGGGCACAGCGACACTTACAAGTCGTCTTCAGTGATGAATCCCGATTTAATCTTCGATTTGCTGATGCTAGGGCGAGGGTGTGGAGGCGCCATCATGAACGTTATGCCCAGTGTTGTGTACAGGGTGTTGACAGATTTCGAGGTGGAAGTGTCATGGTTTGGGGTGCTTTCTGTGGCAATGCACGTTCCAGGCTTCTTGTCATCCGTGGCAACCTCAACGCTGCTGCTTACCACAACCAGGTACTGGCACCAGAACTTCTGCCTTTTATGGCAGCACATGGACCCGGTTTGATCTTCCAACACGACAATGCCAGACCCCACACAGCAATTTTGACAAGGAATTTCCTTCAGAATGTGGGAGTCAACGTCATGGACTGGCCGTCAAGGTCTCCCGACCTCAATCCCATCGAACACGTCTGGGATGCTCTTGGCAGAAGTCTACGCACTCTCCAGAACCAACCACAGAATTTGCAAGATCTTGGCACCATTTTGCAGCAACAATGGCGTCGTCTTCCCAATCATGTGTTCACAAGCATCACAAGGTCCATGCAGAAGGCGTTGTGTGGCAGTTGTCAACGCACATGTCGGCCATACTTGCATGAGCTGCTTGACAATTTTTGTGCTTTGACTTTGGTCATTGATCACATGGTTTGGCAGCCATATTGGATTCAAGGTT